TATTCTATGAACACACAGACGTTACACTTTTACACATTTTTTTTATGCCAACACGTTTACACATGCATATCCAGTGAATACAACTAAACACACACACACTATTAGTAATCTTATAACTACTATTTTATCTTTTACCTCGAGAAACAAAATTTAATCCACAAAGAATAAGAATAGCTTTATCCACAGGCACCGTGAAGTCTAAATATATCCAGATTGGTGCATTTAAAAACTGGAATTAGGTATCCTAATTGACTTCGAATATAATCACCACTAAATAATCACCTTGTATTTCCATAGGAAAGAAATTATAATAATATTCGAACTATAATAAGATAGTTTTTAAGTTAATCCGCATATTTGTGTAACTTTGTAAGTAATGAGAATTTAAATTTCTGTGTTTAAATAGGACCTATAAATAGTTAACATTTGGTATTACAAATATGAATAAATTATTATAAAAGAAAATTACGTTAATAAAAAAAAACATTTTTGAGTCTCTAGGTCATTTTTTTGTTTGTTCAAAAGTTAATTTTAAAATGAAACGCAGCAAACTTAAAGGGGTTGCAACAACCTCAGCCTTCAAGCGCTCGACTTCACTTGATGCTAAATACTGATCGTTTGCGAAGTCTTGGTGAAAAGCTCTCGGGGAAACTCTTTCACGCAGAATCCAAGAGCAAAGTAAAAAAAAATGTTTTGTTTTAATTATTTTTTGTTTGTTTGTTGCCAAAGTAAAAAACTCACCAAGCAGCAGCAAACATTTTTATATACAAGTGGGAAGGTAGAAAGTCGAATAATAGCGGCTGTTGCTGAGTCGAAGAATGTCAACTGTGGTGCTGGGAGTCATCCCTCCCTTTCCCATATCTCGGCGCAGGTACCACTACTATCAACATCGGCGCCCTCACCCTTAGCCAACACGTCATAGCTGTCTCTACTCACGCGCGAGAGCCAACTTGCGACGCCTGCTGAATAGAAATACAAAAACAAAAAAAAAAATAATAAGGCAGGGGAGATAAGTATATGAAAGAAAGACGAGTGTTCAATGGGAGACTATTTAGATAATGTTGTACTACAGCCAGGCTCACTCTAAACTCTAAAGTAATGTTAAAGTGATTGGTGCACGAGAAATGCACATTCTGACAGACAGCGAGTAAGAGAGAGTTATCCTTCAGATTGTCAGAATGCTTCTTCCTGTTCAATGGGCGAATTGGACATGCTTTAAGTTCAAGAGGCTTTTAATTGTTAGTGCTACGGCTATTGTTTCAATGGGTCCATCTCGAATTAAATCTGTTCATTGCTAAAATGGCTTACTAATAGCATGCCACAAGTTTCGGATGTTCCTCCAGATTTGAAGATTATTACCATCTAGCCCAGGGGTTCTCAACTTGTGGGTCGAGACCCCTTAAGGGGTCGATTGACGATTTGCCAGGGGTGGCCTAAGACCATCGAAAATATGGATTGTTATTGTCTACGCTTCTATTGCTGTGTGTGTTGGGGGAGGGGGCTCTCGGCAAAGTGAGGAATTGTAAAAGTGGTCGCCGAGCTTAAAAAGGTTGAGAACCGCTGTTCTAGACGAAACCTCCTTCACATAAGATAACGACAGTCCAGAGCGCATGCAATACGACCGGGCTGTCAATGTATCGACCTATTTATTAAGCTTACTTGTCTTAATGCTGTTGTTGTTTTTTTCGTCTGTTTCTTTCGTTATTAAATGCACGTGATACGTGACACCATTTTCCTGGTATAGATGGGCACAACACTGAGTGACATACACTATTGAGTTAACAGAGGCCCTGGTCAGGGCCGGCCTTAGGCATAGGCAATCTGGGCAGCCGTTTAGGGCCTTCGATTGGTGGAGGACTCAAAACAACTTTGTTTAGGGAAGAAATCGTTAAGCTTGTCCCCAATGTTATTGTTGGAGTGCAAGCGTTTTTAATAAATTGAATTATTGTTGTTTTTTTTCCTGTTTATTATTTATTTTTCTATTTCTTTTCGGGGATTCCAATTTCACCCTGCCCTGGTTAGTATATTTGTGCAGGACCCTGCCCCTCTCGTAGTAGAGGAACGCGTCGTACCCAGTGACAGCTCTAATACTGGGGATGTCAAAAAATCTTCATCAACCACTCCCCATTGTGAGAAACTCTAGCCCCCTTGGAAAGACTTCAATAAAATAACTAGAGGAATGATACATTATAAATTACCATACTCGTACTTTCTATATTGTTTCCCTACTTTTTACACATTATTTATGGATATTTAAAAAAGATTCTTATTTTTTACAAACCTTGTATCAACTCCATCTGTCTGTCTGTCTGGTAAAAAGTTTGTACACGTTATTTCTGTCACACCTAATCTTGGATCACGCTGAGATTTTGCACAATTATTTCTTTTTCCTAACAACACAAGAATCAATTTCAAAAAAAATATTAAAAATTTAGTTGATGAACTATTGGTAATTAGTTATTTTGTTTGAGATCTCGAACAAGACAGGTAAATTGTACTGAACTGATGTGTTGGTATAAGTTGAATTAGTCCCCTTAATACTTTATAGGTTGCCGCTTTAAAGTTTGAAGCTAAGAAAAGATAACTATAAATACGATTCGCTGCCTCAGAGGCGAGTGTGTCCATTTGAGGAGGCTTTAGCCTTCAAATTTGAATTCAGGTCGTACATCTTTTTTTTTTTTATAAATGGATTTAAAAGTGATCACCCAGATACTCCCTTCTTTCTCTCCACCCCCCATCACCCCTTTCCAACTTGTCCAGACAAGGGATAGGATCATAGGAAAGCTAAAAGCATGAAATTACGCTTAACAAAAATAATTGCTTATTTGTAATCGCACAGATCTACTATCGTTAGTCTAGATCTATTACAAAATTTAATTCCATGACTGATCCAAACTAATGGATACAATTAACCTACACTTAATATAAGCTTAGCTTTATCAATATTTTCTAAATGTTATTCTTAATTTTCAGTTGTTGATGTTCCCTTTTAAGGGTAAGGTCCTTGGAGGCCGCGCTGTTTGGATCTCCATCTCGGCATCTAAATAGACTATTCCTTCAATACTAGACTTCCTTTAATACTAGACTATCCCTTCAATATTATAAATCCTTTGGTCAATGCTCAATACATTAATTTTTTAAAGTTCTTACAATTTTATTTTTAATTTTCAGAATTGCAAACCAGGTAGGCTATGCAAGAAGTTTCCATAATGGAGTATCAAAGATTACTGAGGAGTGCAGTGTTTAACGTGGATACGCAGTCCCTGATGTGACCTACATATTTTGCCACATCCAGTGCAGAGAGAATGGATACTTTAAAGCGTATTTAAAGCGAGAATATTCTTAAAAAAAGAAACTAATTGAGAATCACACCTAAAACCAATTTATTTTGCTCTCAAAGAACTTTCCCAGCCTCCGTCCTTGTGGTGCAGCCAAAAAAAAAAAAAAAAAGGTCAAGTTCGTAGACTCTAATCTAACAACGTTGTCAAAAATTTGACAGCTTTGTCAAGATTTACCCTAGTTCCAGATTGGTTGTTTCCAATTTTTCTGACGCCCCCCCCCCCCCCCCCCCCCATTACGTTCTCCCGATTTTTTTTCTTGGGGGAGGGGGGGGGAAGACAGAGAAAATGAGAATTTCACGTTTCACTGGGTTTACATTGTCTGCGCATGACAAATGAAATCACGAGATCTATGATATTCCATTAATGACGATACATGACATCAGTTTAACCCGTGTCTCAATTTCAGAGCAAGGTTACAGCCTAAAACTCTAAAGAGGGAAAAAATTATTATTTTTTTATCTGCCAAAAAAGTCTGCAAAACATTTACAAATTATTGAACACTTTCCTTTTTGAGTCCCTGACCTTGGCCTCATAGACATGGAAATATATAGGTCAGTGCACTGTTAGAACAAACAACATTTTTAAAAAAGTTACCAGGAAAGGAAAAAACAATTCCTCCTTTAGGAAGCTGATCATATTTTGTACAACAATTAAATTTCTTTGATAAATTATGAATCTTATATAGCGCTACTTTCATGCTTATAGCATGCTCAGAGCACTATGGCCCAATATCATTTGTGGACCAGTGGAGGGAAGGGAGCATCTGGGAGAAAGCTTTTCGTGCTGCCTTTAGGCGCTCAGTAAACACAACTCTGCTCGAGTCGGGTGTCGAATCTCGAGCGCCCTTCATAGGTAGCCAAGCCATGTTCAAGCGTACTTGGCCTCTCGACCTCGCTTCCCACTAACAATTATTTCGCTCTTAATAACTCTGGCTGGCAAAAAGGAAGAACTCAATACTGTAAAGAGACGATAGCTGAGCTGGTTTGGTCATTTTGTAAGACATGACTCACTTTCAAAATGTACAGTTGTTATGAAAATTATATGCTGTTTCGGTTGTCGTTCTTATGTTTACATGTGCTTGTAACTCGTCCGTAAGAATGTGTTCACGAAATGTGTGTTGTGTAGTCATTCAGTGTATTAAAGCCTTTCTAAGCGGACATGGCTTTCGACTCTGTTATCAGTATGTTCATAACAAGTGTTGGAAGCACGAAGTAAGGGTCGTCCAAAGAAAAGCTGGCTGGATTACATAAAAGAATGGACCGGCCTCTCTCTTGATATCCTGCTAAGAACAGCTGCTGACCGGGAAAAGTGGAGTGATTTGATTACTCGAACTGTCAAAGCACCTCACAACAAAAGTCCGATGATGATGATTAAGATTATTATTATTTAAGATTATTATTTTATAGACAGACTGTCCAATACGAAAAAAACAAACAACAACAATGAAATAGATTTATGTCCACAGTAGCAAATCATTTTCCTAACCTAAAAATAATAAATAGAAATTTAATAATATAATTATATAAATGAAATAAAACACACACAGACAAACACACAGATACAAAGATATTTTTAAAAAAGAAAAAATTGAGCTGAAAGAAAAAAAATAAAATGGGTGCTTTAAGGATAGAAACTAAAACCAAAATTTACAAGATAAAAACACTGGTTTAAAAAAAAAATATTGCGATTTTATTTTATAAATTTCTTTTTTATTATTATTTATTATTTCAATTTTTTTAAACAGCAAACAGAATCATTTTGTATAAAGGTAACAGCAACAACTGACTTAAGAATGAGCTTATACCACTGGACGATTCACTGCAAGGAGCACTACACACACAGTACAGTACAATGTATGTAGCACTACACACAGTAAAGTACAATGTATGGAGCACTACACACTCAACACGATGCATGGAACGCTACAGAAAAAGTACAATGCATGGAGCACTACAGAGACAGTACAATGCATGGAGCACCACAGACACAGTACGATGCATGGAGCACTACAGACACAATACGATGCATGGAGCACCACAGACACAGTACAATGCATGGAGCACCACAGACACAGTACAATGCATGGAGCACCACAGACACAGTACAATACATGGAGCACTACAGACACAGTACAATGCATGGATCACTACAGACACAGTACGATGCATGGAGCACTACAGACACAGTACAATGCATGGAGCGCTACAGACACAGTACAATGCATGGAGCACTACAGACACAGTACGATGCATGGAGCACCACAGACACAGTACAGTGCATGGAGCACTACAGACACAGTACAATGCATGGAGCACTATAGACACAGTACAATGCATGGAGCACTACAGACACAGTACAATGTATGGAGCAATACACACTCAGCACAGTTCAATGTCTGTCAAACAGTTCATGGTAATTCTCTGCAAGTGACAGGCACACAAACACACATTTCACCACACAGGGGAGATCAAGAGAGTTAAGGAAACAATTCTTTATCCACAAGTTCCCATAAACCATTCAGCCTTATAAATCCTAAGGCAAACTAAAGCACAACACACTGACCCACACATATTATTAACCACTAACAAACTTTACACACACATCTGAAATGAGAAGTAGATATGAATTTTTATTATATTCAAAATAAAACTATGTATCATTTAATATAATAAAAGATTCAGTGCTAAAATTTTTTATTTTGGAATTGCAACATTTAGATTTTTATGAACATTATTTAGCCTTTTTTAAATTTACAGTCTTAAGTTATGTAGTGTATAGACAATTCAGTTATACCCAAACTAGGATCTGTAGGTTACATTCAAAATGTCGTGCTATCATGCCTTTCAGAATACCTGTACAGAGTGTACACAAAAATCGCAGAGGCTCAGTTTCATAGTATTAGATTTTTTAAGCAGTGTTGCTGCCCCTGACACATATTGAAAAATAATTAGGCTCCTTGACTGAAAAAAATAGTTGTGCCCCACTGGTTTAAATTAAATTGACATTGTTAGTGTAATTAAACCTATGACTTTATTTGACTAAACATTTGAACCTAACTGAAAACTTAGTTGTTATGCACGTTTGATTTATTCAAAGACTGTTTGTAGTTCTGGCTGAGAAGTTGGACTACAAAATTATACAAGAACTTAAGTCATAGCAATAACAAAAAAAGTATACAACCTGGTTTGGACGTTTGATTGTACTGCACATATAAAAAAAAATGGTGAAGAAACAAACTTAAAGCCAGACAAAGAAAAATGAATCTCTTGAACATACAACCAAGATTCCATTAGCATTAACCATTTCATACTAAATTTAAGCCCATTCCAATTTCTTTAAATTTTAAGCAAAACCAGAGCAAATATTTAACACACACACACGCTCACCAACATATAAATCATATAGAAACATATCAACCAACATAGTTTTTCCACATATATTATCACTAACCACAGTCATATTTATAAACATTCTCCAACAATGGGGTTTCTAGCAAGATACTCTCTCAATAACGTAAATTTTTTTTTTATAGTTTAAGAAAATAGAAAGACTTTTGATGTAAGAAATACTTATAATAACGCATTTTGTTTACATTAAACATATTTAATATAGCTCTCCAGTCTTCATAAATATATCTCTTTCACCTTCCGCTTCTATGTTGGAGTTAATATTCTTCGCCTTCTTCCGCTGCGCCATTTACAGTGTCAGCGCCAACCTCTTCGTAGTCTTTTTCTAATGCGGCCAGGTCCTCGCGGGCCTCGTGGAACTCTCCTTCCTCCATACCTTCCCCAACATACCTGAGGAAAGTAGAAATAAGATAATGTAGATAGGGTAATTTAGATGAGATAAGATAATTTAGCTAAGATAAGATAATTTTATTATTCCAAACATATTAGGTTAGACTACATTATTTGACTTTAACAATAACAATATAGATTCAAATACAAGAAAATATGGCAGGATGTGATGTTAAAATGAAGGGGAGATTATAAAAAAAAAAACAATATTTAAAAATACAATTTTAAATAGAGGTAATACTTTATTTTTATGAAAAATGAACATATAATTCAATATGTGAAACTCAATGTACTTGATATAAATGCATTTATAAAGTTAGAATTAAGACTTCTAAACATTTTAATCGACAAAAAGAAAAGTACAACACAAGGGAGATAATCTACTATGTTGTCAACACTAAAGGAAAAAGAAATAATTAAGCCCCTTGAATATCCTTTATAAAAAAAATAAAAAAAAACTCTTAATTTTTAAGCCTACCATAGTCTAGAACAGTGTTTCCCAAACTTTTTCCTTAACAGAACACTTCACACATTCTGTGTATATACTTAAACACCTTTCTTATTATTTAAGATAAGTTCATTCCTGAGTGGCCTTCGACTTAATTATTCTAACAGTTTATAGGGCTCCGTGGAAACACTGCTCTAGAAAGATAATATATATTATGAAAAAAAGATTATCTATTACTATAGGGGATCAAAGCATTTCATAATTCTGATACACACAAAAAAAACACTAACCAGTGAACGAAAGCTCTCTTGGCATACATCAGGTCAAATTTCTGATTCAGCCGAGACCAAGCCTCTGCTATTGCTGTTGTGTTGCTCATCATGCAAACTGCCCTCTCCACTTTGGCCAGATCTCCACCTGGCACTACTGTTGGAGGTTGATAGTTGATGCCAATCTGTTGGAGAAAAAAACAAAGTGGGCACATCGATTAATTGCTGATGCCTAGACCTCCATCAACCCCAAGAAGCTGTAGCTAAACAGATCTTTAAATAGTTTCTAAGTACAGTGAAATCTAATAATTGTAAAAATTTCTGTAGCTTGTGTTGTTTTTATTGTTCTATTTTATTGTCTTCTGTCTTGAAGTGTCTCTAATTTTAGTGACTTGACTAGTGGTGTTACGCTACCCAATCAAGTCAAATAAGAATATCTCTTTGGTATGAGTCTCAGGCTCTGTTTTGTGTATGTTATCGTTTTTAGTTGAGGGGTCTCAAACAGAGAATGCATCATCTAATATTAGTCTAACCAAGGATCAATAGCATTTTAGATATAGATTCATCATTCTTGTATTTGTAAAAATGTAATTTATTAAACCCTAATGCTTTGTTTGGTCATTTTCAAAAACTTCATCAGTCCATGGAAACTTTTCATTTATTATTACACCTAGATATTTTGGATCTTAGTCTGTGTAACTGATTTTACCATGAATAAAATAAGTAGTTTTTTGTTTTAGTTTTTTTTTTTTAGTCTCAACAATAGGTTATTTTTCTGGGTGTGTTTCATTTAGATTCACATTTATATTATTCATCTAATTGTCTTTGAATAATTTCAGTATCTTTTATTGTTTTCATAGTTCTATATATATAATCTAATCAGTCCCCATTAGGTGCATTAGAAACCCTAAGACTTCCTTGAGGTACACCTGAGTTATCTGTTGTTAGAGTTGATTTGGAGCCATTTAGCATTACAGTTTGTTCTCTACCTATCAGAAAATCCTGAATTTCTGTAATGGAACAAAATATTATATATAATGCCAAAATATTTTAATTGTTTAAACTATGGAGGTGAACTTTGTCAAATGACTTATTTATATTTGCTTATCATTATTGTTAGGATAGGCCTACATATGTAGTAGAATTGGGAAATAATGTTAGATGATAACTATTGTGCTGGTGTTAAATAATACATTTATTTTTTTAATGCCTTTTATTGTGAAGTCATCAACTGGTTGGTAAATGTTTTTTTATTATTATTATCACTATTATAGCTTTTATAAAGCGCTACTTTCATGCTTATAGCATGCTCAGAGCGCTTTGGTCCAATCTCATTTGTGGACCAGTGGGGGGGAGGGGGTATCTAGGAGTTGGTTTTCCGTGCTGCCTTTAGGCGATTAATAAACGCAACTCTGCCCGAGTCAGGTGTCGAACAGGCTAAGTTCAAGCGCACTTTGCCTCTCGACCACGCTTCAGTTTAAAGTCAAGTAAAAGTCAAAAGTCAAGTTAAAGTCAAGTAAAAGTCAAGTTTTCCCTTTCAGAACTTCTGTTCTTTGGGGCTGATGATGGTAAGGTTAAGGTCATCTGTTTCAATGGCTAATGGTTAACGAGTAGGGTGTCATGTGGCCAGCACAACGACCAACCCCCTTTACTTTTCCCCAACTAAAGTCAGGTACCCATTAGAGTTGGGTGGACTCATGGGTGCCCTAGAAATCCTGAAATTCAAAATCCCAGTCTTCACTGAGATTCAAACCAAGGACCCCACGTCAGAAGCCAAGCGCTAAACCACTCAGCCACTGGCATCATGGTCAGATATTCCAGGAATAATGTTATAATCTACCACTAGTCCACATCTGTTACTTAAGAAGAGATTTAGTATGTTGTTTGAACTAATTTGTTTTCGTGCACACTGATCTTAACTTTAATTATGTGATATTCTATGTTTCTATGCAATATTTTGATTTTGATTTATGGCTTATGTTTTCTAAATATTGTATTAGTGTTGAGGTGGTGTACATTGTGATTCAATTTTCTTTTTAATTTGGTAGAGTTATTTCTCCTGCTATCAGTTTGTGTTTTTTTTTCAATGGCTATCAGAGCTCGATCATAATATCTGTAATTTATTTTTTTATTTCATAACCAAACATGTCTAGATTTTGTCTTGTTTCTATTCCTAAATTATGTCTGGCTTTTCCCTTTCTTTTTATTAGGACATTTAAATCTGCTGATTTGTTTCCAATATTTTGGAAGTTTACTACTAAAGTTTTAAGTTGAAGAACCTATTTCTGTTTTGACTTGATTCATTGGCCTCCTTCAGTCGTAGAACAACTATGGTTCATCTCAGAGCACACTTACTCATGTGGCTGTGGAGCCCTATTTTGGAGAGACACTCCCGTCCACAGATAGCGCAGGTTAAGGTGGCTTTTGCTTCGGTGGTAGAGGAGCTGGCTGTTTTTCGGATTGTACATTTTTCTTCCTGAGCTGAGACCCATGTACTTTCACTGTCCATAGCTTTCTTGGTCACTGTCTCTCTCCACCTGTTACGGTCTAGAGCTATGTCTTCCCAATTGTCAATTCTGACAAGTTGACTAAATATGTGTGTGCTAATTGCAATTTGTTTGTTTATTTGACAAAATACAGATTGGCTAAATTTCCCTGATTTAGGATTCATTTCCAAAATTGTTCAAAGTTATATTCTCAGTTCATTTGTTTTTGTATTTTTAAAATTTATTTTATGTCTATTATCTTCTAATAATGACTTAAGACTAAATTAAGTTTCTTAACAGCGGTGTATAAATGAAATTATTATTAAATACAATTATTTACAAGACTCTACCTTTTCTATTAACTTATTCTTACACAGAAACAATATTGAGAGAAAAGTAAAAAAAATAAATAAAAAAACAAGTGATTTGACCAAAGATAAAACTTGGTGAAGGAAGCACAAGCTTGCAGAACTAACTGATATGGTAGACTTTCAAAATTACTGACATGATGTTTAGTAATAAACTCCTTATCTCCAGATATCAAAACTAATTAGAAATGTGCTGGATGCAATAATTTAAAGAATAATATGGTAACATAAGGGTTGAACTACCTTAATGGGAGGTGTGGTGGATAATTGGTAAAGCACTTGGGTTCAAAACCAAACGGTCCCATGTTCAAATTCTGGTGTCAACACCGGGATTTTTAATTTTAGGATTTTTAGGGCGCCTCTGAGTCCACCCACCTCTAATGGGGACCTGACAATAGTTGGGGAAAAGTAAAGGCAGTTGGACATTTTACATGCCACCCTTGTTGACCAGAAACATGAGCTTTACAACATCTGCCCTATAAACTGTATGATCTGAAAAGGAAACTTTACTACCATAGTCCCTTTTTTTAAATATTTTTAATTACATTTTTACTTGTGATCTTCAAAATAAGTCATCCATGCGCTCTACCACCAATAACAGCATTACATTTTTCTAAGTAGACAACACATTATTGTCAACCATCAGTTCATCCTACCTTGAACCCTGTGGGACACCAGTCAACAAACTGTATGGATCTCTTGGTTTTTATGTTGGCAATAGCTGCACTAACATCTTTGGGAACCACATCACCTCTACAGCAGAGAAAGCAATAGAAATATAATTAGAAAAAAAACAAAAAAAAACAGTTTTATGAGACTTTATTATTTAATATTAGTGTATTAGTGTTATTCTTTTGATCATATTGAATGTTTTTTTTTTCGTT